CCCCGTGGGTGTTTGGCTGCGTTTTGGAAAGGGAAAATCCCTACCAGATAAATTCCAGGTTCATAGTTCTGCTATTCTTGGGAGAGAATTGCTGGGGAATGTTCTGGAAACTTGAAATTAACTCTGCCTGTGTCGAGGTGAATAGGTCTGCACTTTACTTGCCAAGGTCACGATGTTCTCTTTCACTATAAGGCTGCCAGGAGCACCAGAAGTACTAGAGTCTTTGTTTCTTATTTCCATTCAGCCTTTTTCTACTGCAATGCTATTTCTTTGCATTAGGCCCCATGATACATGGACCTACTTCAGGATCCTACAGTTCCATACAGTTGTTACTCATTGCCTGAGTCCTCGAGACAGCTACCGACTGGGAGACCATCTCATCTTTGAATTTTCAGTGACTAGTGACTGGCACCTACAGGACCACAGAGTTAGTTGTTGCTTGAATGAAGGAGTGAGTCAGTGCAAGTCTGTTCACTCATTTTTGCACCCTATGCACTCTGTTTAAATATTCCCAGTACACAATGAATTTGTGTGGCATAATTTTTTTCCAGAACACATATGGTGATCCTGCTTTCTAACTGAAGCTGCCCAGGCCCTTGAGAATCTCCAACAGCCAGCTACATTTCTGTGGGCTTGTGTGTGCTTTGGAAACTTTCCTTTTCCTTTAGAAAGCTTGGAAAGCAATTTGGATATAAAAGAGGAGAAAGTGGATGCTCCAGCTCTCCACTTCTGCCCAGACCCAGAGGGAACCTGCCATGGGTTTGCGCTCAGCAGCTTCCTTGAGCCTGTCCCAAAGGAGTAGGCCTTTTGTGACTTGGGAGAAGAAGGCCTAATGCCTTGGTAGTGTACATTTATTATCAGCCTAGCCCTTATTGTGAGCAAACAGCTCAGATTCTACCCCCTTCCTTTGGGAAATTAAAATTCTTCACACACATAATGGAAAAGCCTACTGATCCATCCTCTAGCCCCAGTAGATCTTGGGCTAATCATTAGGCTGGCAAGCAGCACAGTAGAAACAGCATATCTTCATATTACAGTATTGTCACTCAAGACAAAAAAATGCCTTTCCCCCGTGACCCATTGGCAATTAAATCACCAAAATAAACAAGAAGGATTATATTCTTCGAGGTAGCAAAAAAAGATCATAATATCAAGGACTCGGAGTTTTTTTTTAATCTGGAAAGAAATGAAGGATGTAATTCAAGTCTCTCAGGTCCCTGTCTCTGTCTCTGTGCTGGCATCTCATACAGTGAGGTGTAGATGTATTTAGGCATCTATCCAACTCCTAGACTGAGACCAGTTGGGGAAAGGACACAGCCTCCTTCTTTTTTGCATCCCCAGAGCCCATTTCAATATCAGGCACATAGTAACCACACGACAGAGGTCTGATCAGTGAATGGCTGATGATGTCAGGGAGGGAAGGTATAAAACTGGAGCTAGCCAGACAATTCTGCAATACCTGTCCTTCAATTTCCTCACCAGAAAAAAAGGCAAACTGGTTTCCAGCTCTAGGATTCTACTGTTTTCTCTAGGAAGTATATAAGTGGAAAGGTTTACAGGTTCAAGAAGAATTCAGAAAAAAAATGTGTGGATGAGGCATTGACATATGCTAGCTATGCTATGATTTCACAAAACCTCTCCTGGAGCTGGAAAAAAAAAGCGAGGCAGGCCCTAAGCTGTAGTTGTCATGTTCATGGAACCCACTGTAACCAAGATGGAAGGGTGCATAGGACCTCACTGGCATGATCCACAAAGCAAAGGGAGGCTCAGTTGCCCTGGCCTGGAGAAGAAAACAAGACACTGTGGCTGCCTATGTGTCCTGCTGCCTCCCCAGCTCCAGTGTGATTTTTAACTTCATGGCCCAGTTGGCCTGTCAGCATGTGAAGCACATTTGGAGTCAGTAACTATCCCCATTAATGCTTTATTGGAAATGACTGGCCATATCATCCCTGGGGCTGAAGAGGAGGTGAAAGTTGGTTTGGGAAAGGAGGCTGTCATTGGAGATTTGGAGCAGCAGGATTGTATTAAAAGTGTCTTTAAAGGGCCAGGGATTTAGCTCAGTGGTTCCGCCGCCTGCCTCTCAAGCGCAAGGTCCAGAGTTCGATCCCTGGTACCAAAAGAAAAAAAGTGTCTTTAAAGTGGGGATGTGGATGTTTTGTCTTCTATGTGTGTTCCTTAGAGATCTACAGAAAGAACAGACATCCAATCTTGAATGCAGAATTAATCCAGGCAGCAATTACAATAAGCCATACAATGAGCAGAGCTGGTAAAAAAAGATATACTATAGAATCCTCTTCTATTTGCTCCCAGTATAGTTCCACCCGAGCAAACTCTTAGGGTGAGTATAGCAAAGAAGAATGAGTGGGTCAAGTGGTCACATCACCTTCAAGTCTGAGAGCGCTGAATGATCCAGTGCTGCCTCAGTGGGCCAGATTACTAGAATGGCTGTTCCATGTCTGGACAACTTGGCCACCCCCTTCCTTACCTCAAAACTGCCACATAGGTGTTACTTCTCTTTTATTTTTCTATTGCAATGTTTTGCAATATTAGGCTTTCTCTGCATTATGAGTGTTCACAAGGGGAGATCGTTATATGACTCATCTCTCTTTTATTTATGGGGTTTCCCCTAGAATCCATCAACAAAGCAGATGGGAAACTGAAGATATGGATCGAATAGGGGTATGATTAATCCAGTTTCTACATAACCTCAGCCATGAAGCATGAGGTTTTGTGAAATAACCTGCCCAAGGAAGGATATAAGTAAAGCACAGAACTTTAGATTTAAGAGGACTATGTTGAATTATGGTTACATAACCAGATGGTTCAAAAACATTTGGAGTCTTCATTTTCCTTCTGTAGGAGGGGACTATATCCTGTCATCTTTGCCCTGTGTTGTACGGGCCAAATGAAACAGTATTCATGGAAGTGATTCTTATAATAGTAAAGCCCTTGATTAATTCTTGTCAATAGTGCTTTCTCTTAAAACACACACACATGAGAAAGAATGTGAGGGTATGGATTATTTCAGGGGGATCTAGATCTCCTCTTGACAGTTGAGGATGCCAGAAGGGAAGAAATGGGAGGTGGAAGTGAGGGCAGGCAGGAATGCACTTCCCTTTCTTCTCTGGACAATAAGTTCTCCTGACCTTGAAACTTTTGCAGTAGATCCTAGCTGTGTGGGCTGCACTCACTGGTGCATTCCAGCAAGGGACTTGGAATCAGTTTGCAAAGTTTTGCTCATTGGATTCTGTAATAAATGTAATTTGGACTATTAGAATTATCCCATAATAACAGAATGTGAGCCAGTGAATGTCTATCTCTGGAAACAATGCCAGACACACTTAATTTTAAAATATTTCCAGGGCCTAAGCTAGTGCCAGCTACATGGGAGTCCGTGTGCACATATTTATTTGATAAATGAAGATTGATTGATTTAGTTCTAGCAGTTGATCCAATCCTGTCAATTTGATCAAACATATCCTAGATTATCTAGCCAAGACACAGGGGAGAAGCTTTAGCCCACACACAGAATCTACTTGTTACTTTAGATGCCCTCGGAGAGAGACTGTGTTCCAAACCAGACCACCCAGCTGGGCCAACTGTCCAAGAAACCGCATGGCTTAAAAATGTTCAGATTTGCTCTGGCAGTTTATACATGATTTATATATAATCTTTCTAATGGCAATTCATTGAAACATAAGGAAGAAGAAATTAGCATACAAATTGAGCAATCCGCCTGGTAATTGGTTAAAATAAGTAGAAATCAAAGATGTTCTGGAATTTCCGAAAGGTCATTTAAGTCATGGACAAGTTTATTGTTGGGTTTTTTTAAACTGTATTTTTTTTATAAAGCGGAAGACCCACATACCTTAACTTAGCACCTATGAGGCTGTGGTTTGCCTAAACTAGATTTAACCGAGTTTTAGTTTTCTACTTTCCTAACTATTCATTTCAACGGAGTAGGCATGAGTTAAATGATTACCAGGTGCCTAACCTTGTGCTGGGGGCTCTACAGGACTCCAATCTTTTTATTGACTTGGAGAAAATAAGAAAATTCATTGTCACTGTGATATTATGATTTATACCTATTTTGAACCACAGTTCCTGGTTATAACTCCGGCCTACCTCACGTGATAGTTGTCATTCGAACCTCCTCACATGGAGGGGGTGCTACCCCAGGCCCACAAGAATGGAATGCTGCACAGAAAGGCTAAGAATCTGGACAGACAGTCCTTGCTAGGCTTTCCCACCCAGTCTATTCATTAGATCATTCTCTTTCATCCAATCACATTTCAACATGGCTATACAAGTTTCAGTCATGTGTGTGCAATGAAGTCTCCATAAAAATCCCAAAAGGACAGAGTTCAGAGAGCTTCCGGGTAACTGAACACATGGAGGGTACTGGAGGATGGCACTCTTAGAAGGGGTGTGGAAGCTCTACACCCACTACCCCTAAACTCACTCTGTGCATCTCTTCCTTTGTAGCCTTTATCGTCTGCTTTATAATAAGCTTTTAAAGGTAAGTATATCTTTCCCTGAGTTCTGTGAGCTGCTCAAACAAATGAATTGAACTCGAGGAGGCAATGTGGGAACCCTGATTTATCGAAAGTAGGTCAGAAGCACAGGGAAAACAATCTGGGGCTTGTGCCTGACATCTGAATGAGGTGCCTTCTTGAGGACTGAGCCTTCACCCTGTGGCATGTGACAATATCTCCAGGTAGAGTGTCAGAGCAGAACTAGATTAGAGGACTCCCAGATGGAGTCTGCTGTGGAATTAACTGCTTGCTTGTTGGGGAGAGATCCTCAAATATCTGGTGCCAGAAGTGATTTGTGTTGTGAGTGTACAATGGGAGAAACTGATTTTGAGTTGTTTTTTCTTTATCATCAGAATTATCATCTATTTAACAACAGCGTGTGAGAGGCAGGGTTCAGGCAGGCAAATAGTTATGACCACAAGAGTATCAGACTTTATTCCAAGTTACACATGATAGAGAACACTGGTTGGTATAAGATGAGCCTTCTTGCCCAGACCAAACAGTTGCCAAGACTTATACTGAGTGGAAGGATTGCCTAGCAGTAGCTATTTAGTGTGATGATGGCGTTTGATAGTTTGGACACAAACACCATTGTCACACTCCACAGCTCTGCTAAGGGAAATCTGTAGGTGTGAAGGTGTTAACTTCACCTCCACATTCCACCATTGTCACTGCCAATCATCAGGGATCCTTTCCAGCTCCACATATGTGACCTGAGCAGAGGAAAGAGGAGTCATGGAAGTCGAGCATCTTGAGGAATGGAGAGAGATCAGGACTCACAGATGGAAAGCATCTGTATTTTGGAATAGTAGTGTTAGTTAAGAGACCCACAGCCTTATGTTCCTACCACCTAACAAAGCTCTCCTGCTGACAGGAATGAAGACTTTCTATGGAAATGAATTGGAAATCTGTTTGCATCAATCTTCTAAAAGGACTGAGTGAAAAAGAATCCTGAGAGGGAATAGATTTTAGAAAGCAAATACTCAGCAGAAGATCACATTAAAATGGCAATAACACCACTGGATAAATGAAACCTCCCCAACTCACCTCACCGTACTTCCCAATCCACCATCAGTAAATGTGATCAATTTTACAGTCTAAGAAAATTAAAATTCTGTTTTACAGGGATCCAACAACAAAATGTAGTCTCTTGGTGGCATCTCTTGGATATAGAGGCTCCCATCTTGCTCAAAATGTAAACCCAACTCACCACAGTCATTTTCCACTAGAGCAATGGGAGGGAGATGAGGAGAGATAAGAGGGAAGAAAGATGGAGAGAGGGGAAACTTGTCAATTTTTAGTTAAAAGTTCTCATTTTCTAGCAAAATGTAAGCTCTGTGAGTGAATCTCTTCTGGATTTACTTGGGTTTCCTGTTAAAAATGGCTTCCAACTGTTACATGAACCCCTGCCCACAGTGGAGAATGAGGAAAAATGAAAGCCTTTTACCTAATCCTTTATTTTCTCCAAATGCTGGGAAAGGGGAAGGTTGGGGGTCAGTCATTTTTCCCTTAGGATAACTGAAGTGTTAACATTTAACCAGAGATTAGCTGTACCCATAAAACTGACCTGGATGTAACAACTGAAAATGAATTTTTTTTTTTTTTTTTGCATTTTTCAGTAAAAATGCCCCTTATTCCTACACAGACTATGAAATCATCCTCTTCAAACTAGACTCCAAATCAGAACACTGTGAAAACCACTGCATGGGCTTGGACTGTTGAACCCTGCCTCTTTTTCCACCCCCCTTTCCTTTCTTACTATGCTGATTCGCTGTTCTTCCACTTCCTTTCCTCCCTGTCTGTGTCCTTGGCTTGCCTTCATGAGACGCTGTCTTCTGTGAAGCCATGAGAAAGTGCCACTTGGCCCAGTGTTAGGCAAGCTCTCTGCAGGGAGAACACCCCACATGGCAGCTTTGCTTGGCTCAAAGAAGACTGGGTGCAAACCCTGGAGCTATAGCTGGCCCCACCCTTACCTCAACTGTCCAGGGCGCTACAGGTATGGTGGTGGAGATCCATTCAGCATGATGAGCTGTCTTCTAGTATTTCCCTGTTCCTACTGCTCTTCCTCACAAGTCAGCCAGCCTCACCCTCTTTTGTGTGTGCCTGAGGAGCCTAGAATAGGAATCCCCTCCTCCTGATCACTCCAGGGATGTTGCTAAGCACTACCATGGGAATCTAGAAATCTAAGCTCAACTGGGAAGAAGCAATGAGAGGTGAACCATCGACTAGTGAAAACGGTCCTGCTAGGATATGCTTGGAGAACTCCATCCTGGGTCGTGGTGTGGGCTCACTTCATTTCTCAGGGCCTCACCCAAGTGTCTGGAACCCACTGTTCTCCATGATGGCTTTGTTTGGTTTTGAATAATCTACAAAAGACCAGAAACAAAAGAAAGTAAACAAAGAAGAAGCAAAAAAAGGAAAATTTGATGTATTACAGATAAATCTTACCAAATTCCTCCCTCCTATTTCCATGGCCCAGAAATATATTTCAAGGAAAACGTAAAAATTTGTTGAGAATTTTACTGATAAAGTTGTTCAGGGTGGCATTGTTTATAAAATTAAAAACTAGAAAAAACCCTAAATGTCTAATGATAAGAATATTTATGATAACAACATAGTCATTTAATTGATGTTGTAGAAAAATGATTTCGACTTGGAAATTCAAGATTTGTTACTGAGTGAAGAAGTCATTTATCAAACAATATACACAATATGAGCCCTTTTCTGTGAAAAATACATATATGGCAGCAGGAAAAACATCAAATGTTAACCATGGTTTTATCTTTGGAGAGAAGATTACGGTTTCATTTTTTTCTTCTTTTATGTCTCTGCATTCATTAATTTCTGCAATTCACGCAGCACTTTTGAGAAGAGAAAAATGATTAGAATTTTAAAATCATTATGTTGGATTCCCTAATAACAATTCCTTCTTGTAAAGCACTTTTCTGAAATTTGGAGATTGAGACCTCCCCTACAAATACTTTGTGACAAGCATGAAAGTTAGTGCTGCTGAGAGAAGAGCCTTAGGCCAACTTCTTTGCAAATTATTAGTGAAATACTTTATTAGGGAGTCCAATAATTTATATTATTATTGTATCAAGCGATGTTTAATGAGTGTCGACTATTTTCTCTGCCTGGTGAACAGTGCTAAACAGCATTCATCTTTGATTCCTTCTTTGATTGCAAGAGTGGTTAACTGTCAATTGCTTTACAAGCAATTTAAACAAGCCAGCGGAATGCTTTCATTTTTTAAAGATGTATTTGATAATGTATCACTAGTAAAAATTGAAAGTGGTTAATGCCAAGATCTACTCTTGGATTTTTTTTTAATTCACATAGCCTTTTCTCATTCTGCAGGGTTACAAAGTCTCATGTTTCAGTATTTTCATATTTAACAGCTCAATGTAAATAGTACCAGTTAATATCCAACAGAGGGGCTGGGGTGTAGCTCAGCGATAGAGTGCTTGCCTGCCATACAGGAAGCCCTGGGTTAGATTCTTAGTTTAAAAAGAGAAAAAGAAAGAAAATGTATAAACTACTTGGGAATAACAGTACCTGTAATTACCTGTATAGAAGTGGAGGGGGAAACAATGCTTAAGACAAAGTTGTAAGATATTAATCAGGGTGACTTGTTCAAATGTCACCAATTTTCTATAGTTTAGAAAAGGAGGGCCAGGGATTTAGCTCAGTGGTTCCACAGCCTGCCTCTCAAGCAGAAGGTCCCAAGTTCAATCCCTGGTACCAAAAAGAAAAGAAAGAAAAGAAAAGGCTTCAAGAGATCTTAGCTTCTCTAGGCCTCTGATCTCATCCACATAAACCTTCTACCATCTTTCTGTGTGTCTTAATTCCTGAGAGCTGCCCATGGGAAGTTGAGGGTAAAGCATTCCTAAATAACTATTAAAACTAAAAGTCAACACTGTGCCCTCGCTTTCCTACATGGGATGGGATCGCGTGCCATTTCTAGCAGCTGTGGTCAATTCTGAATACAGTTTTCCCATTGAACCTGTGAGGAAAAATAAGCTGCACTGGGTTTGCTGCTCTTTGAATGCCATGGCTTTCCTTTCCTAAGTGGGAAAGAAAGTTCATTAAGAAGGAAGCCATATGAAGCTTAACTTTCCAGCAAATCCATCACCCCTTAAGTACTCTCCATGCTCCATAGCTCCCAGGAAAACACCTTAGATTCCTAAGTATCAGAAATATTACAACTTCCTATCCTTCCTCAAGTCAGTGTTCAGTTTGTCTTTACTATAATATTTTGTTCTTTGGGTCTAAGAATACGTAGGGGCCAGCCCCATCAGGTCAAGTAGAGAGTGCTTTGGGGACTGGGAAATGTCACCTCATTGCAAAATTAACCCATCCATACCAAAAATGATTTCTCAAGAAACAAAAAGCCAAAACAGAATAAAACAAAATGATGCTTTTAAATTCTAAATCCACATTTACTGTCACAAAATAAATGTGTTAAATGCATTAATTTGATTCTTTCAGGCTATGATAGTCTAGATGAAGACAAAAAAATTAGTATCATACTTTTGAGTCTTGTCAATTTGAAAACACATGGAACTTTTAAAATAGAATGTTCTTGACAACAGGCACAAAGCAGCATTTCTGTTTTTATTGAGATCCATTGGATGGTGAAATCTGGAATGTTCCTTATTCATGTATTTAATATCTATGTTTATCACCAACCTGGGGTGAAGGAGGAATTATCAGGCAAATTCTCAGTCAAGATGGGGCCTTAGTGGATTTTTTTTTTTTGGTACTGGAATTGAACTCAGGACCTTGCACTTGTGAGGCAGGCGGTGGAACCACTGAGCTAAATCCCCAGCCCTCAGTGGATTTTTTAAAGAGAGAAATGCTGAGGCTTGGGGATTCCTAGGGACCGGTTTCATTTTTGTGTAGGTGGCCAGCTGAGGGAAGAGACTGGGCAGACATATGCAAAAGGAACAATTCCCATGCCGGTATTTTAGAAGTATGAGAACACAACAACACATTTTGCCCATGTGTTTGCCCTGAAGCACAGGGAAGGGAAGGTTCCTGGTCAAATAAACCTAATCCAGTTAGTCATTCTGGTAGAATCCTGATTCCAGGGCTTGGTGTTATTAATAAATGAGGCCACTGTAAAACAGGAAGCAGTTTACTGCACAGACATTTCAAGGAGAGAAATAAAAGTCCACAGTGTCTCTGGATCCTCAACTTCATCATAGCCTCACTCTTTCCCTCCATAAGGGTGAGAGGAACCTTCAAGAAAGTCTCCAGTCTTCCTTAGGCTTTCTGAAGAAAGTGAATAATCACAGCAGACAAGTGCAAATACGATGTGTTGCTCAAAGACCAAGTTGGCAGCTCACCCTTATTCTAAACAGCCAGTAGCCACCCTGGAGAACAGCCTGCTTCATTCAGGGGAGCTGAAGGCCCCATGGGAGACGGGCACTTACCTCAGTCAGCACTGGTCTTCTCTCAGTCCCAGACCCCTCCTCTGGCTGGCAGGAAGGTGTGTAGGGGCGAGAGTCCTGCGTTTCTGTCGCTTTTAGGCCTCTCCCGTCTCCCTTTATGGGATCCAGGGTTTAAAAGTAAACAATTCTTTCTGTTTCTGATAAGTCACATTAAATTATTGATTGTGGGAGAAGGGAGGGCATGACCTTAGTCCACTAAATCAGCATCACCTTTGGTCAAACACTAAGCAAGACCGAATGTCTAGCATACCCAGCTCTGCTGTGTGTGTGGCCTCCAGCAGACAGACATGGAGGCCAAAGGGGTGACATGGGCATTGTTCCTGGGAAACAATTTCCCTCTCAGAAACCCAATTTAAACTTCGTTAGCTCTTTCCTCACAGGAAGACTCCAGTTTATTACACTGTCATTGCCTCAGGTTCCTAGAACCAGAAAAGTCACCTGCACCCATGAAACGCATCCTTGGCTCATCATACTTTGAGCTCCTGACCAATATTTGGAAGTCAATCTCATGGTCTCCTTGACCTGGTCAGTTCTGGTGTATTTATGATCTATTTACTGGTTATGCCAAGCATTGTTTATGAAGTGCCTTCTCATTTGCTGAGCTCTGAAATGCAAGGGGAATACCATAAACAGTTTAGTCTGTGAGTAAAGACAGATATATAAGCAACAACAACCATGGAGGCTGCCATGGGCCTAAATACATTCTGTTGTCAGCTATGTGTGTGTACGTGTGTGTGTGTGTGTGTGTGTGTGTTTATGATATTGGGGATTGAACCAAGGAGCTCTTTACCACTGAGCTACGTCTCCAGCCCTTTTTACCTTTTAATTTTGGGACAGAGTCTCATTAAGTTGCCCAGTCTGCACATTGAGGGAATACTCTTAAGTGAAATAAATAGGACACACATGTGTAAATACCGAATAGTTTCTCTGGTGTGAGAAACTGAAAGTGTAAATAAGGACTAAATGTATAATAGGTAATGTGAAATAGGAAGAAAAGGGGCAAAGGAGAAGGAAATGGGAGGGCTAGGGGAAAGGATAGAAGGGAATGGGATTAATATGAGAAAATGGAAAAATAGGAACAAAATCTTTGTAAATAGGGAGGACTGGAGAGGTTGAAGGGAGGGCTCGGCAAGGGTGAAAAATAAGAACCAAGAGAGACTATGTAAAGGTGCAAATTTCCAATGATGAATGTCATTATGTTGTATATCTAAAATGTACCAATTATTAGAATGAATAATCAATAATGTAAAATAGGAAGAAAAGGTTCAAAGGGGTAGGGGTAGTGGGAGGGGCAGGGGAAAGGAAAGAAGGGAAAGGAAAAAATGATGAGAAATGGAAAAAATGGAAATAAAGTCTTTTTAAATAGGGAAGGGTGGAGGGGGTGAAGGGAGGGCTAGGAATGGGGAAAAAATAAGAACCAAGATGCATTATGTAAAGGTACAATTCCCAATGAGAAATGTAATTGTGTTGTATACCTACAATGTACCAATAAAAGAATTTAATACAAAAAAAAAAAGTTGCCCAGTTTGGCTTTGAACTTGTAATCTTCCTACTTCAGTCTCCTGAGTTTAGATTACAGAAGTGCACCGATATACCCAGTGGCTATTCTTTTTATTGTCTCAGACCAGTTTTTTTTCCTCTTTAGGTCATTAGGCAGTTTGATTGCTTAAGCTTTAAAAGAAAACCATTTGCTACTCTCCTCTAGTAGTAAGCGTGGTCCAAAGTGAGGCCTAGCCTTTCTGATGAAAGCTTATGATGCTTTGCGGGGATGTTCTTGACTGGCAGGTACTGTCACCAGCCCCACACTTTCTTTTAGTTGTCCTATCTCTTTTCAGGTTGTGGCTTTTTCTTGTTCCTCCCCAAGAACTGATCTAAAGAAATGAGCCCAAAATGTTGCCTCTGCTCATCGGTCCCGTGGCCACTCCTTTTTGCCCAGTGGGAGATTCAGTTACTTCCCCCATGTCTTCTGCCCACCTGAGGTAATCGGGTGGCCTCTCTCCTAGAAACCCCAGGGCCTTTGCATGAGGGCTGAGGTTCGGGCTGGCACATTCATATAGTAAAAGCTCAAAGTTCATCCTGAGGTGGGGAAAAAGTCCTAATGATCCTCTGGAAGTCTCACAGTCCTGTGCTCTCCAGCTTTGTTCAGTGGCGACGGCATCAACCTCATCTTTTTAAAGGTCATATTACTGGCACAGCAGTGTCACAGCTGCTTGCCGTAACTTGCTTTGTGCTTTTATTGCTTCTCTTAGTCACAGGAATCATATTTCTTTTCAGAAAATTACTGCAAATTTTTCTCCTTTAAAGTGAAACAGATTCCTCAGGGCTCCCCATGTAGACATCCTTTCCGAGGGCAGGACAAACCCCTCTCACCACCAGGCCTCACCCAGGACATCTGGGCCCTTTCATCAGGTTCTCTTGGTCCATGCAAGTTGATGCCTTTTTACTGAGATAGTTTCTCCATTATTTAGAAAATCATGCCGAAGCAAAAGCTCAACTTTCAGATGATTTTCTTTAAATTCCCAGCCATGGTTCTTACAAGGATTCTGAATTTCAGAAACAGGATAAAACTTTTCTAAAATTCTTTCAGCAAATCACACAACCCTTCCTCAGCTGCCTTTAAAACTGACTTTTTTTTTTTTTTTAATGTTTTAAGAAATAAAGGATGTATTCTCTTGAGACAAGGTAAGTTTCAAATCTGGCAAGATTGCAGATCAGCTTGGAAAGTTTGAATCACTAATGTTTGTCCTGAGACACAAGCTGCAAAAGTGAGCTTCACCCTCCAGGAAAGACAAAACCAGGTAACTTTCCCCTGGTTGCAGCTGGAAGCAGGCTCCACCCAGTGGCGGGGACTGACTCGAGCGTTTTCTCATCGCCCTGCCATAAGTAGCCAGCTTTCGTAAACACGGCTGGTGGAGGGGAATCAGGGTCAGTGAAGAATGACAAGCTTTTGCCAGGAAGGACCATGAGGTCTGGAAAGTGTTAAACCTGGATGCAGTCAAGATTCTTTGCCATGTGGAACTTTGCTTTTGGACAAGACACTTTATATTTCTGAGACTGTAGTCTCTCTGAGTCGCGAAGCTGAGAATTCTTGCTTTTATTTTCCTCTAGGGTGAAACAGGAGATGGATTAGTCATTAGGAATAAATGGGGGACACAAGGGTGGATCAATTACACAGGTCACGGGCTGTATTGACTAATTGGTTATTTATTCCACTAGGAAAGACAGAGGAGTGTCACTTACCGTGTGCAGGGCACCGGCCAAGCATGGAACTGGAGAGGTGCTGAGTTGCCACAGCCCCTGATTTGTATTTAAGAGAATCAAATCACTTTAAACCAATGTCGCCATCCAGGACCCAAGGGAAAACTGGATAATGACAGCACGTCGTGATTTCATCCTTGTTGTCACACACAGGTCCCTTCACATTAAATGTCCTCTTGTCAGTGAGAACAGGCCCCGTACCCTGGTGACACCTGGGGTGTGGGGACAGGTGCGCAAGTGAGGACTCAAGAGGAAGGGTCATCACATGAATGAATGAATGAACGAATGGTACCTGGTCTCAAGAGGAGGTGGAAACTAAATTGTGAACATTGTGATTTTTCTCCCCTAAACATTTCAGCACACATCTCCAAAGAATAATAGCATTCTATTTAACCTTAGTACCATTATCAAGGTTAATAGCAATTCCTTAATAATATCTAATATTCAGCTCATTTTCAAATTTCCCAATTATCCTCCAATGCCTTTCAGAGTTTTGTTTATTTGTTTGTATTATACTAGGATCTGTGGGCTGGGCATGTAGCTCAGTGGTACAGCATTGCCTAGCACGTGTGAGGCCCTGGGTTTGACCCCCAGTACTGAGAAAACAAGACAAAACTAGGATCTAGTCAAAATTCATGCCGCATTCAGTTCTTCTTTCCTCATTTTTAAAAATGACAAAATCAGTTCAACGCTCTCCAGCATTCTGCCAAATATTAGGTTTCTTCCACAGCCTTTTCAGAGAGGGGCCACTTCTCTTGGATTTCTAAGGAAAGAAGGCCTAGAATCCCGCACCCCACTCTGCCTGGCTTCCCTCGCTCTATGGCCCCTCCTTCTGGGGAGGAGCTAACACGTTCGAGAGAATCATCCTTAAACATCGAACAAGACCCCCAAGGAGTCTGCAGTCATTTATTCATCCAAGAAATATTTGTTAAACTGGGTGCTGTGATACCAGCCTGTAATCCCAGCACTCTGGGAGGCTGAGGCAGGAAGATTACAAGTTTGAGCCCAGTTTAGGCTCCATAGTGAGACCCTATTGAGAGCCACTATATCCTGGCCATATTCTAGCTACTGAGTATAGAGCACCAAAGCATCTAACAAGCAAACGTAACCAAAGGAAAATGTCTTCCTTCCCTCAGGGAGCTTCCATACACAAAGAGACAATACACAAAATAAGGAAAAGTGAGAGAAGGGGTAGTGAGTTTGAGGGAAAGACTCAAATTAAAATAGTGCGAGCAGGGCCTCACAGTGGTGGAGTTTGAGTAGAAGGCAGAGAGAGTTAAGAAGTAAGCCATGAGGTTGGGGAGTGTAGCTCCGTGGTAGAGCACTTGCCTAGCATCTACCAGGTCCTGAGACTGATCTTCAGCACTGGGGAGAAAAAACGTAAAGCACTGGGAAGAACATTCCTAGTCAGACAGATCTGCAGGCTGGGATATGTCCCAAAACAATTAAGAAGATTAGTAAGGCCAGCGTGTTCTGAAAGAGCGCTGTAGAGCCCTCCAGGCCATTGTAAGGATTTGTCCTTATTCGGCATTTACAGTCCAAAGTCTACCTAGCTAATGCTATCTTCAGAAGGTAGAAAACAAATACTTAATTTCTATTGCATTTATTTCGTGTACTGAGGATTGAACCCAGGACCTTTGCACTGAGCCACACCCCCAGCCTTTTTTTCTTTTTTCCCTTTCGTTCTTTCTTTCTCTCTTTTTTTTTTTGAGACAGGGTCTTGCTAAGTCATTAAATTGCCCAGGGTGGGCTTAAACTTGCAATCCTGCCGCAGCCTCCCAGGACGCTGGGATTACAGATGTGCAGCACCACACTCAGCTTAATTGCTACTATTTTTAG